TGTTGGCCTCCTGCCTCGGAACCTGCTCTTCAGGATCGGCGCAGCAGACCGCGGCGTTGCGCAAAAGGGTGGGGGCCCCGACGAAGCCTCGAAAGGACTTGGCCTCCACTGCGCAGAGTGCCTGGCTTGCATCGAACCGCCAGGCTTCTTATTTTGCGTTGCGAATACGCACCGCGCGCCATGCTGAAGAAAAGCGGCAGGGCCTCGTTCCCCACTTGCGTGCTCGCGAGCTTGTGGCCGTGGTCAGGCGCCGACACCAACAGCTCAACCACTCTCTCAGGAAAACCTTCGCATCCTAACTCGGGGCGTTCGCTGGCCCGCCCACCGAAGAAAACAATACACAACGAGCACCTAAAACCCCGCAGACCACTCCGCAAAGAGTGCCAAGACGTGGCCTTGTCAAAGACCTTCTTGTGCCTCTCGCGCCGAGGGGGCCTCCGATGGGAGGCCATCGGAAAAGTGGTAGTAAACCTTCTGTTCGAGAGCCCAATCTAACTGCCTGACTTCGGCTTCAAACGGACGGGGATGAATCGGGATGGCCTGCTTAGCCTCGGGGTCCGCTCTCTAATTGGCCTGACCTATCCTACGTTCTAACTGCGGCAGGCTATCTACGACTTCTATCTTACGATGGGCAGGCGCGTGCGTGAACAGCAGGGGCAAACTTGTTATCTCGCACGTGGATCAGGGCCCCGCGCCTCAGGCCCCCATGCGTCTGTTTCGGGGAGGTTTGGTCGCTGGCCAGCTCACTGTGCAACTTGACAACATTCATATTCCCCCAAAACTCCGTTAACTGTCAAGAGAGGAGGGGGCCCTGTTTTGGCGACGACCGCGAGCACAGCCGCAGGCATTCCGCCCTGGAGCTCTCCGACTGACGAAGGGGACTCCAGGGAACAGCTCCTTGAAAAAAGTTGTGGGGTGGGAGGTGAAAAAGCACAGCTCGAAGCACAGGCGGCTGCGGAAGAGGGGAAAGGGAAAAAGGGGGGAGGGAGCTGGAGCACTGCGGCCTCGGGGGGAATAAAACCGTTTAGGCATAGCCAAACGAGACCATATTCCCCCCAAACTCCGTTAACTGTCAAGAGAGGAGGGGGCCCTGTTTTGGCGACGACCGCGAGCACAGCCGCAGGCATTCCGCCCACGCCCGCCCCGGGCCCCACCCTCCGGTAAAAGTCCAAGCCACCGCCGACCTCCAGTGGGCAAACTGCTCACAGGCAGGGGGCGGGGCCCCACGAGACGATTAAAAAAGGGGGCCGCGGGCCAGCTCCACCACCGAGCCCCGCCTTGGGGGAGCTCCACTCCAGGCGCACCGGGGCATGTCCGCGCAGCGCGCCACGTGGGGCGGGGAGGGGAGAGTGACCGGGGCCGCGCAGGGGCCACCCTGCCCGCATCCTGTGCAGCCGCTTAACACGTTCATGACTCGGCGGCCGGCGCGCGTGCAGGGGGGCCCCAAAACTCGGGGCCACCCCTCCAGAGGGAGGAGGGTCCGTGATGAATTCATGGAGAGGGCCACCCGCCTCCCGGACGTCCGCACAAGGCCGGGTCCGGCTCAGTCCGTCTCCTCCAGCTGCAGTATCGCCCCCGCCGGGGGCACCGGGGTCGCCCCCCGTGCACGGCTGGTAGGGCCCCCCCCCTTGCCCCGTGCGTCGGTCTCCCCAGCCTCGCGGGTGGAACGGGGTAGCCCGCCCCGGGCTGGTCTCGGGGCTTCTGCCTCCGGCCGGGTCACTTCCAGGCTCCTCCGCAGGGCTGCCTCCCTCGTCTCCTGCAACTTCTCCATGACCTCGGGGATCCTGTACTCCCTCCCGGTGGACGGGTTGGTATTGGTCTGAACGCCTTCCCCGAACGTGTCCTTCAGGTACTCCTCCGCGATCCGCCCGTTGGTCTGGCCCAGTCCCGCCTGGGCCCTGCGGCTGAAGTCCCCCAGGTGGAACGGGCGCTCTCCACCGGGGGAGGAGGAGGCCCCCGCCCTCTGCTCGTCGACGAGGATCTCCACCAGGACCTGCAGGACGTTGCGGAAGCCGCCACCCCTCGGGGCTTGTAGCCACGTGTCCGACCAGAATAGCTCCCGGGTCTCGAAGGTGTCCTCGGCCGGCGCCGCCGGCTCCGCCTCCTGGGGCCCCTGGCCCTCGGCCGGGGGTGCCGGCTCGGGCCCCGGGGGCCCTTCCTCCGGCAGCTGGAGGCGCGGGTGCCTGGGCTGGGCACCCTCCGGGGGCTCGGGCGACTCGGCCGGCCCCTCCAGCCTGGACCCGTCCTCCGCCGCGCCCTGAGCTGGGCTGGCGGCCCCGACAAGGTCGGCCTCGCCCTTCTGGTCCGCCCCCCCTCCCGGCTCCGCGCCCCCGCCTCCCCGCCCCTCCTCGGCGGGTGCGTCCTGAGGCGGCTCCGCGCCCTGATCTGGGAGGGGTCTCCCGCCCCCGCTCTCCGTGCCAGCGGGGTGCCCCCCCGCGGCCCCGTCCGCCCCCCCGCCGGCGACGGGCTCCGCAGTCTTCCGAAGCGGCGGGGGGGGAGGCGTACCGTTCGGAGGTTTTGCTCATCCCGGTGCGCCCTGAGGTGCTGGGGGACTGGGCCCTGGACCAGGTGCATCAGCCTGTGGACCTCCCGCGCCTCCACGAAGAACAGCAGCATGTGCTTCGGGTGGTAGTAGACCGTCTCCGTGCCTCCCTCCTCCAAGCGGAGCGGGAGGGTGCGGTGGGTGTCCAGGCTCCGCGGGCACCCATCCAACTGGGTCCATCCATCCCCCCCGACCCGAATGGTGGAGTCCAGCCATGCCGCCAGCTCCGGGGGGAAGTGGCCCATCTCCTGCAGGACCTCGGGCTTCCACAGCTCCACCCAGCTTGTGGGGATGGGCGCCCTGATAGTGTAGCCGCCCGTCGGCAGCATGGGGGTGCGCACCCAGTCCGCCGCCATCCCGTCCGGGATCCAGCTGGCCACCCAGTCGTAAGGGTCCTCGTCGGGGTCCTCCTCGTACGCTCCTCTTGCGCTCCCGCCCGACTCACCCGAATCGCCCTGGGCTTCTCCTTGCGCCGGTCCAGCGGGGCCGGGGACGGCCGGCGCGCTCCCGAGGTCTGCGGGTGCCGGGGGTGGCTCCTCCGGGGGAGGCTCTTCCGCTTACCGCGCGGGGTCGAGGTCCCCCTCCGCCCGTCGCTGCGCCGGGACCACCCCGGGTCCCACCTGAAGGAATTGACCTGTTATAAGAGTTATCAATAGTTATAAGTAGGTTATAAGTATGTTGTAAGTAGGTTATAACAGGTTATAACATGTTATAATTTGTTGGCGCACTTATAAGTTTGCTAAGTCGGAGCCCTGAGTTAGCCCGAGTTATAAAAGTTAGTAACTCCGCTAACTTTTCAACATGGTTCTCACCATATCGACATAATCATATATTTTGCAGGGTGTACTCTTCAAAAAAAGACGAATTTGATAATATGTTTGCAAGTGTTGCACTCATCATTGCGACTTCTCGCATATCATATCTACGCTGATCACAATTGCAATCGATGCAAATCCGCAGGTAGTGTTGCAACAATTGAGTTGCATGTTGTTTTTTTTTTGGGCATGCCATGTTGAGTCCGTTGTCATTTGGGCTCCAGGGCATTTCGCGCGCATCATTTTGTGCTCACGATTTGCAAGTTGCGTCTTGCATCCATCTGAGACATGCAGCCGCATGGAGCGGATGCTAAGATTCTCAAATGCAAGGACGCAATGGGCACTATTGAGAGGAAGTTCGACTCGCCTAAAGCAGAGGTGGTGGATTTGTACGAACAGGTCAAGGCGATAGCTCGCCAACATGGTATGCTACTGACAGAGAAAATCAACAGTAAGTATATGTACGTGAGCCCATGCAACAGATATGGCGACGGCGTCGTGCCGTGTGACGTCACTGACTTGATCATTAAAATATTGGGAAATGGGTTCAGGCACGAGCATCTGTTGATGCCTACGTGTGCCGAGGTGCCCCCAGTGGGCACTGCTGAGTACCTCAAGATCAAAGGGTTTAACGACAAGATAATGGCCGATAGCGCAGGACAGCTGCCGTTCTACGATGATGGTGATGGTAAATATCAGAGTTACACATGCGGCCATACATCGCAAGGTTTGCGATGCATCATACATGGCACGAACGTGCCCGAGACCAACCCAGAGCGGTTCAGCGACATAAGCCAGGACGGGAAGATATCATTGCAACGCCTCCAGCAATTCCAACCAACTTATGCTGATGCGGCTGTAAACGGTATCACATGGGACATCTTCTCATGGCAGTTTATCGAGGCGTTTCCTTTCGTTCCAGACCTTGTGCAAGAAGCGGGCAACGCAGGGCAGGCCGCTGCCAAGTGCGAGAGCAGGCTGGAAATCATGCTTAAGATTGCGCAGTACGCGAAGAGCCTGAAGCAGAAATTAGAGCTGAAACCGAAGGAGAAGTTCCCATGGGATAAGGTCAGGCGCCAGGCGGGCAGGGGCGCAGTCTTCAAGCATGAGATAGACCACATGGTGGACTATGTGAAGGAGATGTCAGGCGGACTGGACAATCCAGTGTTTCTTCACGAGCTAAGGGGCTTCAACAGGCACCTGGCCAGAGCGACGATAGTAAAGTCCGATGTCGCGGCAGCCGTCGCGACTTGCAAGATCGCGAAGGAGGGGTCGGGGGTGCTATTCAAGCTCGCGTGCATCAAGGCTATGCATGGCCCGAGCGACAAGTATAGGAAGGGCGACGAACAGACGCTACTGAAGCTCTCGGACGTCAATGTGTTGCAGAACGAACGCAAGGCGCAGATCGCGTTACAGGGCGATGAGTTGCTGCAGAAGATTCGCAAGCTTGCGATTGACTTCGAAATCGATCCATCGAGCGCTCGCTGGTCCAACATAGTCGGGCTCGCCGATGTTCGAGTTGCCCACTTCGTCTTCAACAAGCCCGACGAGAGCCGCGGGGTATACAAACAGATCACCGACATCGCAGTTGACGCTTGGAAAGCTATGGCTGCCAGCGCTGGCAATAACAACGTTCGCTGCCCATGGAAGGCCAAGGCCGTCGCGCATGCACCACAGTGTGCTAGCAGCGTCTCCTCGACAGGTGTCAAGACCTTTGACCAGCGTGGCGAGTGGGTGAACGTGTCCGGAACGTTGGCTGTCAAAGGTTTCAAGGCGGGCGTGGCGGTGTACAACCGCCAGGAGGGCGATGAGTCTGTGTATGGGATCAAGGCAATTGATGGGCAGAATGTGAAGATGCAGACGGGAGACGTAGAGCGCACCATAGATGCCGAGGACTTCATGCGAAACAAGTTCGCAATATACGACATCAAGAAAGAGGTAATCGACCAGTTCGACCAGTTCAGCCCATTGAATTGCATGGACTACCACTGGGGGGTCGAGGAAGCTCGGATCAAGATTGCACTCGACGAAGTCTATTCACAACATAGTGCTTGCCTCAAGCATATCACGGCGATTCATTCGCCAATCAAATATAAAGCGGTGTCAGTGAAGAAGGAGTTCAAGAAGGACGCCATCGGACTTGTTCCGTTGACGACAACCATATCGCTCAAGAAGGCGACGGATGAGATCAATATTGGCAACGTTTGCCTTAGGAAGTATACCGACCCTGCCAAGCATACCGATTACAACGTCGCGTTGATGGCCGTTGGCGGGCTCAGGCTCAAGCGTGAAGAGGGTGGGACTGGCATTGGTGGTCTGAAGCGCGTGCCAGATCAGTACGGGGTGCCTTTCTGGTTGGTCGGCGTGTGCACCGCGAAGGAGAAGCCAAACTTGGCTGTGACATTTGTGACCGCCACGAACGGCATTAAGGTTCCCATCCTCAAAAACACGGTCGAGCTCAAGAGCGGCGACAGGTTGCGCATGTCCGAGGACACAGCAAAGGCGCTTGCAAGGAAAGTTGCACTGTCCGACGCCACGCCCGCCAAGCCCGCCAAGAAAAAAGCAAAGACGCAGTGAGCCGCCCATTCGCCGCATTGCCGCGGTTTTACGCAGGGCGTTGGCGTCGCCCTCCGTATATGAACGCACCTTGTTGGATGGCGAAGACATACTGAAATGCTTCATACTGCGATGCGTCATCACACCATCGCATCGCATCATTCTGCGATGCAACATCGCGCCAGTCTGCGACATCGTCGCAACGCACCATAGCCGTTCTGGCTCAATCGCTGGGGCATCACGCGGCCCACGCTGCCCCGCACGTCTGCATGTCAGCGTCTGTTTCCATGCGCACGGTGATCGAGGGCGGCGGGCTCAAGGAGCCGTGGATACCGCGGACTATTGTCCATAGCGGAGGTATTGCGTTCATCGAGGTATCCCTGATGGACAGGAGGCTCTTCCAGTTCGTCGACATCCAGAACCCAACAGACAGGAACGCCCCATTTGCCCAAAATCATTTCTTCAAAGAGTTGAAGGCCCTCCGAAGCGCTGCATCGGACATTGCGATATGGGAGTACATGAAATCGCGAGACCCATTGCTGTCGGACCAGTCTGACCAAGACAAACTGATCAAGGCCTACAAGAAGAACGTCGACGAGAGTGCTATGCCAGCATACGTTACGGTTCAGTTGCCAGAGGTTGAATTTAATGGTGGCGGCGTGGCCTTGAAGTGCGAGCCGATCGCAGTAAGATGCATATTTTCTGCATCAGCGATTAGCAAGGTACATGTGGAATGTACAGAGAGCGTACTGACTTACATCAGATGTGCTGCGCTGAAAGCAGCAGGGGACGATGGCACCGAGAAACAAAAGAGAGGACTGAGCGGAGTGCCAGGGGTCCGATGCGACAAGCGTCGCAGGGCAGTGTATGTCGTTGTGAAATCCCACAACTCGTCAAGACGCATCTATCAAAAACCAGTGGAATGGAATGACACGTGTATTTTGCACTGCGCCCGCGAGCTACGCGACAAAGTGGTCGCGAAGGGCGAGGGGATAGAGGATCACGAGCCCGATGCCGATCTTCTCCATGGGCTGAATTGTGCCGAGCATGCCGAGGGGGGTGGACCCGAAGATCAACAGGGCGATGGCGAAGACGACAATGTCGATGCTGCGGGTGATAGCGGCGCCCAGGGCTGAGACGCCACGCGCTGCGTCGGGCACGCACAACGCGCCCACCCTTTCGACCTCCTATTTATTCTCTCACCGTCGGCCCCGTCGTCCTTCCCATCCGCGGGGGGGGGGGGGGGGAGGGGGAAGGGAGGGGGCTCGTCGCCATCGTTTTACGCGCCCCCTCGTGCCACTCCTCGCCCGTTCGCATCCTAGATGCGCTCTTCAGGCAGACGTGCCGCCGCCACCCCTCACCCCTGAATGTTCAACAAGGAGCCATCTGGGAACGACCTCTTATAGAGCGCCAACTCGTCCTGAGGGCCCTGCACCTCCTGCTCCAGCCCCTCGACCTTCTGCGCTGCCTCCGTCTGCTGCTGTTGCTGTAGCGCTGCCTCCGTCTGCGGCTGCTGGTGCCGCTGCTCTGCGATCGTGCGCTGCTGCTCCCCCAACTCCGCGAGCAAGTGATCGCGCTGCTGACCGCGCAGCAAGATCGCCCTCCACATCGCCCACTCGTGCTAGCAACAGTTGTGCAGCATTTACGCGCGTAAGCAAAGCCTTCTATCGGCAGGTGGAGGGGCGACGGCGGCGGCGACGACATCGACGACGACGAACTTAAGACGACGACGCCCGCCTCGCGAAGCTGCCGCACCGCGGCGACTATGCCAGGGGTCTCGGGCGCCATCGCAGCGCGGCTCTCGGACGACGCCACGGGGGGATGTGCGGGGCCCGATCCGTCCTCGGGGGGGCTACGCGGGGCTCGCGTGTGAGCGCCAGCCGCTACGTACGAGCGCCCCGACCCCATCCCCATGAACCCTACACCCAACACGGCGATGCGGATGCTCCGCAGAGGCGACGTCGCGGGGTGGCAACGTCGCGGGGTGGGGGGCTTGGGGGTGGCCGACTTGGGGGGGCCAGGAGCAAATGATTGGTATGGGGTTCGAATGGGAATGAGGTCGGGGACACATTGTGCGTGATCTATGGGGGGCATGCAGTTTACTTCGCATGCCATATATGCGAGCTCGTAGTTGGGCGTGCTGCTTATGGGGATACAGCCATCGCCATGGGTGTGAAAACCATCATCGTTGCACATGCGTTCAGCAACATTTGCTTGTGACGCAACTGTGCATGATTCTCATTATGGTGACAATCGCATCTGCCGCATCGTCGACCGCACAATTGCCACTGTCATTACCACCGATACACACCGATTCGGACGTACATGTCATGTAAGAGACGCTAGCGTCAGCATCACAAATCACATTATGTGTATGCAAACTATTTCGCCACAGCCGTTGTGTTGTTATGTGCGCGCGATGCCGTGAGTTATTGATGTGGGTGTTGGACTAGCTTCGGTTAGGGCGAGATAATGTTTGGTATTTGTAACATCGTAGTTTGATGTCGAACGGCACAGTAGTGTAGAGCTTCGTAGAATAAGGATTTCGGCTTTCGGGTGGGTACAGTACTGCAAGCTTTGTGTGGTATGTATATTTGTAGAGTGCATCTAAGATGCACGAGGAACTATAAAGATCCGCGTCTCTCTCTCTCTCCCTCTCTCTCTCTCTCTCTCGTTCCGACGCCGTTGTGGCCCATGTGTTCAGCCGCGCCCGCGGCGCGCGGGCCGTGGGTTCACGGCGCGGGGCCCGCTCCTCCACAGGGTGCTCGCCCCCCCCGCCGCGCGGGGCCCCCGACGCCCGCCGCGGCCTCGCCCCCGCCCCGCCTGGCCCTGCAGATGAGCGGTGGTGGCGACGACGCCACCGAGGTGGCAATGTTGCTCGCAGCGGCGAACGAGATCCAGCAGCGACGGGAGAAGGTGGCGGAGGAGAAGCCGTCGCGGCTGCAGCCGACGTCCAAGAAGCGGCCGACCGCGCCGCGGACGGCTCCGCCAGAGCACATCTTGGCGGCCGCCATGGCCTCCGCCGAGAAGAAGCGCAAGGCGATGTGCTGGTCGGCACAGACTCGCGCGCAGACGTGGCGCGGCTCGGTGGCGGACTCGCTGCTCGAGAAGCTCAACCTCGCGCCGCCCATGAACCCGACTATGAACTCGATGCAGGACCTTCTCGAGTTCGAGGCCGACGAGCCCGAGGGTGGTGGCGACGACGCCGCGGGCGGCGGCGACGCGGTCGACGAGGGCGACGGCGACTACGAGGGCGCCACGGCGGATGAGTACGAAGGTGGCGACGCTGAGGGCGGCGGCTACGACGACAGCGCGGGCGAGAGCTACACCGCCGATGGCGACGCCGAGGGCTACGGCTACTACAGCAGTGGCCGTAAAAGCCGCCACTACTACGACTACGGCGACAGCAGCGAGGGCGTTGGCGGCAAAGGCAGCTACTGCAACAAAGACGGCAACGACGGCTGCAGCCGCGGCGGCAAAGACAACTACTACAACAAGGACGGCTACTACTACGGCCACAACAAGGACGGCTACTACGGCGGCCACACCAAGAACGGCTACTACGGCAAGGACGGCTGGTGGGCCAAGGACGGCTACTACGGCCGTGAGAAGGGCGACGGCTACTATGGCCGCAAGGGCGACGGCTACTATGGCCACGAGAAGGGTGACGGCTACTATGGCCACAAGGGCGACGGCTACTATGGCCACGAGAAGGGCGACGGCTACTATGGCCACGAGACGGGCGACGGCTACTACAGCCACGTGAAGGGCGACGACTACTACGGCCACAAAGGCGACGGCTACAACGGCCAGGAGTGGCGTGGCCGCGACAAGGGCGACGGCTACTACGGCCACAAAGGCGACGGCTACAGCGGCCACGTGAAGGGCGACGGCTACAGCGGCCACGTGAAGGGCGACGGCTACTACAGCCACGAGAAGGGCGACGGCTACGACAGCCACGACAAGGGCGACGGCTACTACAGCCACAAGAAGGACGGCTACGGCGGCCACAAGAAGGACGGCTACGGCGGCCACGTGAAGGGCGACGGCAAGGACGGGGGCGGGGGCGACGGCCCCCGCCCCCGCGGGGGCAAGCACATCCGCCTCGCCAAAGCGCTGGCCGTGCGGGAGCACCTGCAGGGCTTGAGTGACCTGTCCGAGCAGGACCAGAAGTACGCGGCCTGGAGCCGCCGCACGCAGCCGCAGGTGTGGCTGAAGGCGGTCGCCGACTACGCTGCGGCGAGCGCAGCGGGCTCAAGCTCCGTGTGATCACGGGGCACACGTCGGCGACCACCGTGTCGTCGTCGTGGTCGTGGTCGTGGTCGTGGTCGTGGTCGTCGTCGTCGTCGTCAGCGTTGTCGTCGTCGTCGTCGTCGCGTGGTCGGCGGGGCGTGCCCCGTCGGAAGGGGTCGAAGCTCCCACGGCGGCGACTCAGCACAGGAGTTGCCGCCGAAGCTGCGGGGGTGCACAGCAGCTGAGGGCTGCCACGAATGCGGATTAAGAATCGTCGCAGAGGGCACCGCTGTCAAACGACACGGGTGTCGTCTTTGAGAATCTCAAAGACGACAACGTGTCGTCTTTGAGAATCTCAAAGACGACACGCGTGTCGTCTTTGAGAATCCCAAAGGCGACAAAATCTCTATTATATTTAATATTACCAACGTGTCGTCTTTGAGAATCTCAAAGACGACACGCGCGTCGTCTTTGAGAATCTCAAAGACGACAACGCGTCGTCTTTGAGAATCTCAAAGACGACGCGCGTGTCGTCTGACAGTGGTACCCTCTGCGACGCTTCTCGGTCCACCTTCAGAGGTGTTCATCGCATCGGTCGTGAGGCCTTTGGACGATCGCTGAGCGACGCGTCGCTCCCGCTCAGCGTGATCGCCCCGCTTCTCTGAGCACTTTTCGGAGGCTCACGATCGACGGCGAAACGATCGACCTCCCCCCTCCTCCCTCTCATCCCTTCCTCCTCCTATTCCTCCTCCTCCTCCTCATCCTTTGCCTCCCCCTCCCCCTCCTCC